GAGGACTGAGGCAATCTCCTTGCAATACGCCACGGCCAACAGATATAAAAGGGGTGCGGAATTCCGAGGTAATTATTGAGGTTTGGAACTCAGTGTATAAACTTTTTATAACGAATTTTATGTGTTCTGGGATGTGGTGGTAGTCGAGTACTGATTGGATGAGATTATGATGGACTTCGCCGAAAGCATTCTTCAGATCAAGTAAGGTGATGACAACAGCACGTTGTCTGATCCGGGCTTTGTTGATGTCAGCCATTTGCGCAGTGTGTTCTAGAGTGCCAGATAGGTTAGGGGTGAAGCCCTTTTGTATGCCGTGTTCGATAAAGTTATTGGATGCGAGGAAGGAATATATTGCGTTTCGAAGACAAGATGTAAATACTTTTAATGGTATAGACTCAAGTGTTATGGGACGGAAATTTGACGGATCATCAGTGTTACCTTTCTTATGTATTAATATAGTACAGGCTTTTTTCCACTCATTCGGGACAGTTCCAGTTCCATAATAATAATAATAATAATAATGGAAACTTTATTACTTTCAATAATATATATACACACTACAATGATAAACCTCTCTTTACAGGTAGTTTACCAGTGTCTACTTGAATTAACACTCTACATAATAACAATATTAGTATGACATTAGTTGTGGGTTATCCCATTCTTTGTTACGCTTACAGAATATATAATACGAGGACCTGATACATATGTTAATAATTTTCCGAACATAGTACTTTCTACATTGTTCATCAAACTTTAGATCCTTCAGCATTTCGGTGAAATCTAGCGACGGGTGGCTGAAAACTCCTAATGAGCTAATCGATAAATTAACAAATTTCACTTTTTCATAATTTTTGAGCTGTTCGTTAATTAGATCTTGATATTTTTGTCTTTTTCGAGTTGCATTAGTGAGGAGATTAGATTCAAATCCGACGGTAAATTCAAGTATATAAATACATTTGTTTTCAAGTGTTATCAAAAGATCTCAAACTCATTAATAATGCATGAGCAAATTAGCGAATGAACTCACCCTAATTCGTCACATGATTGAGGTTGGATACCTCAGGAAACACGCTAAAAATCATATATCATCACTGTTGTTAGATGAAAACGGTTTTCATCTATTAACTGAGATCCTAATTACAAATTCAAGTCAAAACACAACAATATACTATAATAATATATATAAGCCAATGAAATGTTTTCGTTTGAGATGTTGTGTAAACAACTCGTTTCTCGTGTTTCATCAGGGGACCAAACACTCGAAAACAATAAAACACTCGCGCTTCGCGCTCGTGTTTCATACAGTTTTCTCGTGTTTGGATCCCCTGATGAAACACTCAAACTCATTGTTTACATATAACATCAGGGCGCAATTCATCTCCGGTGATAGCAGATGGACTGATATAGCCAGGAAGGTCAGCATAAAGGTTACAATGGTTCACAGATTTAAGTATGGATGCTATGAAGTTAAGCACCGAATCATGACGCCACGTGAAACGTCCTTCATTTAGGTAGGTCTTGCATCCAGCGACGACGTGAAGAAGTGATTCTGGATTCAAACAAAACGAACATTCGGATGTTGGTGATATTCCCCATTTCAGAAGGTTTTTGCGAGTCGGAAGAGTGTTATTTATATACCGGATAGTGAAGTTAAATATATTCTTCGGAAGTTTACTCTGAACGGAGGACCACATAGAGTTGAATGAGAGTGTGGAATGTTTAATGATATTGGAGAAAAATGAGCCTTGTGAAATGAGGTGGTGTTGAAGCTTGTCTTCATGTTGTTCCCTGATGGTGTTTAATACGTTCTTGGTGTTTTTGTATTTGTCATATTGTACATTTTTGTGATTGCTAGTATCCTTCCAAAGGTTATTGATCGCTTCATTTGGCGACGACTTTAGGGCTTTCCGAGAAACAGTTTGGCATTGAAGGAATTTGGTTGAAGGTAGAATGATATTTAATCCAAATTTATTGTGGGGAAGCAGGACGTTACTAAGGGTTGCAGAAATAGGAAGTTCAAGCCATTTAATAATAATAATAATAATAATAATAATAATAATAATAATAATAATAATAATAATAATAATAATAATAATAATAATAATAATAATAATAATAATAATAATAATAATAATATATAGGAGCGAGTTATCATTGAGAAACTTATCAATCTCTAATATTGGGCAAACAATGGTCAGTATCTGTAGTTGTACGTGTTAATTGTTTAAAGATTGTAAATCGTTTGCCTTTATCATGTAGTAAATGTATTGTATACTAGTACCATCGAGTGCTAAGTCTCGGAAAATATTAGTCCAACAAAAGAGGAATAAAAGGAGAACACACGCTATCGAATAGACAAGTCAATTTCATTTTAAAATTTATATTTTATGACATATTTTTACTATAATATACATTACTATAAGTCTATACTGCATGACCTTGCGAGATTGCAGGGTTTATATTAAGAACAATTTAGAACTGCACATATAGGGATGTTACGAAGCTGAACGGGTGTTTGACTGGGGGGTCGAAGGATTTTTACCTGCATATAGGTAAATTGGAGAAAGGCCGGACAAACTCGATTTTGGGTGCGGGAGCTAGGGGATGTTCCCCAAAACAATTTGAAACTAGAGGTTCTTAAGTTCTGGTAAAGATTTGTTAAAACCCAACCACTCACAAAAACTGTTTCAAAACATGTAACTGAGAATCATGGATACTCAATATATAACAACCTTAAAATTGCATTTGAGGCAGCAAAGAATATTAGGTTCTCCCACTCTAATCTCTTTTGGGGAGCTTCGCGCTCGCCCCAATTTGAGCTAGTCTTTTCCATCACACGTAAGTGATTTGTGAGGAGAATAGGAGGGTCTGGAGTCCTCCCCCAGAAAACGTTTATATTTTTTATGCTCAATTAATAACAGCATTTCTGGAATTTTCTAGAGCATCCACAAGCGTAACGAGTAAATGAGAAGACTGTTTTAATTAAGGCTATTTTTGTTAGTTTGGTAACTGCACATTTGTGTTTTAAGAACTGCACAAATGGGTTTAGAACTGCACATTTTGTGTAGAACTGCACGTTAAAATAAACCCTGCGAGAATGCGAGATTGGGCCGCCTGTGCTCCATAATACTTTATTTATAACACTACATGAATTGCAGCTCCATGTGAATCTTGATGACGGATTGCATAACAAAACAATATTTACAGATTTTTATTTATTTATTTATTTTTTGATATGAGTTATGATAAAATGACGCAAAATCCTTGAAGTGTGTGATGGGTGGTAATTTCCGAAAGTATTTTGCCGAAGAGGTCATACACTTTTACTTGCAAGTAACACAACGAGGCTTGCTGATCCAAGCAGGAAACTATGATTTGACAATGGTTTGTTGTTAATCCAGCCTTGCGCTTTGCACGTGCATGATCACACGGTTCACAGATTGACTATTCATAATTAATTTGCCTCCATTTTGGATTTTGTTTAGCTGTTCCGGTGGTGTTCCGTTGCTCCACTAGTCAGTGTTTTACTACATGCCACTTTAAAAATGTGTTTTAATGTTTTTAAAACAAAAATATTTTTCAGTAGTTGTCGATAAAACTGCCAATCGCCGAAAACTATGGTTTCAAATGCGTTGCTTCAAGCTCAAGCATGCAACGTATAGAAATATATGAAAAGTAATTGTGTAAGTTCGAAAAGATCACATTTGAATTCTAATAGTATTAATTTATTTTTTTTAATTTATAAACTTTGCCGATGAAACAGTACATTACATGACAGGACAAAAACAAACGTACATAATGAAATACAGTAGGTACATGACCACGGCTGGGTGACCGCAACAGCGAATAGCCAATTACTGCGGGCCCGTTTATTATATAACGGCTTAAATATTTTTACAACATACCTATTGAGTTTGAGTTTATCTTGATCTTTCGTGTTTTGGCTTGCACAACAACGTTGAAAATGTATTTTTAAAGGACGATTTCTGTATTATATATTCTGTTCAGAACTATTGCTTTTCGTAAAAAAAACCCACTGGAATGGATTTTTCTCCTTTACAATTTTTTATCCGTTTTAAGTCTCGATATAATTTTTTTTTAAACTTTGCTGAAACAAAACCAATTCGCACTCACTGCAAATGGAGACAAACTAAAATGCCCTTACAAATCCGCCATTTTGTGGAGACATTTTTTTACTGAGAAAAGATAGTAGTACGCATTCTATATAGTCGCTGGGACAGGTGCCCCAGGGACTAATTAACGCTTTAGCGCAAAATATCCGGACATCCAGGCAGCCAACTTGCAAGATGGAGAATAAATTCCACGGTAGATTTCCGGTGAACTCTATGTAGACCAGAATGATTATTCGAGACAGTAAGCTAAGCTAGGTCTTCAAAAGGATGTTTTTCAGTTTTTCCACATAGATCAGAGTAACTGATCATTTTTAGTGGTAAATGAACTATCTAAAAGGTAAGATTCATGATATGTTCTTCTGTGTTCTGTCACTCCCTCACAGATGGTCCAGAAAAACAAACGCTTAATTGCTGGTGTTTCTCCATACTTTTGTAACCTGAACTGGCTTTTTACTCATCCGATAACTTTGCTGCTGATGACGAAGTGTTTCTAAAATGTACTTAAAATCTAAAACATCACTTAGTAGACTGCAAAATTATCAACTTTTACATGAAATGATGCCGATTTTTCGTACTGAATTTAGGAAATTTCCGTGTAGTGGCCTTGGGCATACTGTACCTACAGTACAAGACGGCCTTCATTTCCCGCTATCTTTGGTTTCAAAAACCAAGATTGTTTTGTTTTTCCAGACCTATTTATGGGGTTCACTGATGAACTCTGGAGAAGCGCAAGCATTGTCAAGAATAGTGCGCTACCTATCTGCTCTCAGTAGCAATGATTAGCTGACAAATATTCCATTACCAGTAAGATTTTAATTGCTCTACTAGCTATACACACATTTAGTAACAGAAAACAAATATACACTCCTATATACACATGATTACTTAATTCCCGTTTTAAATATTCGTCTTCTACTTCGTGGAGGCTATTTAATACTGTATATTCGAGTCGTATGTGAACTCATATAGGCGACGAATATATAACTGTATTATTATATAGACAGCTAGCTATACAGCATTCATAAACTTCATATAGGCTTTTAGTTAGGCCCTAAGTATATATATATGGCAATATTTTGACGGTTGGTTTGGCAATCCACACAACTTGAGATAACATAGCATATATATCATGCTAGTTCAATGGCAATCAGGTTACAGAATACCTTATGTCTAGTTGTTGTCTATATAATAATTAACAATTAGTCACCGAAGGCGAGGTGATTAGAAGCCTATATATTCACTGAGCTGCGAAGCAGCAAAGTGAATATAGTTTTGTGATCACCGAGTCTGAGGTGACTAATTGTTTTAGTATATAAATTCAGTACTGAAAAATAATAATATATACAAACGTTAGGTTGCAAATATAATTTACATCACTCTTACGCTTTTGAGTCAAACGAATCCAGCTGTCTGAATCTTGTCACCCGATTCTGTTATTTTCCGGTTTTAAATTGCCAAATAAATTGTTTTAGGCATGTAAAAGGTGCATAAAGCATGTAAAAACACCCTCCCTTATTGCGTCTTTTGCTTTTAGAGGAATAGTGTGTCCTTCAATTTCTTCAATTATTTCTTCGATGATTTCAGGTTTGCAAGTTGATTTTCGGCAGCCATTTTGTTTTGAAAGCAATAGTTTGAAAGCCATTTTTCAATACTCGGAATTTATACTATTGTTCGATAGTTCCCTCTTAATTTTAATCGATAGGAAAATTTAATATTTTGATTGTCGTTGCATTCGAGTGGCACGCAGTTATGAACCGCAACTCCAATGAGACTACGCGCAGGTTACAATTTCAAGTATTAAGATATTTCAGTAGAATGTCACACAGTTAACGTCATTTCTCTAATTCTACTACTGTATGTTCTCTAGTTTCTCTTTTATTATTTGAGGCAACTCGGGCGAGCGCGTGACTTGTTGGTGTCGTAGATTTCAAAGACCTCGGCTGCTTTCCCGCCATTCTCAACAGTAAATTCTTTATGGCCATATTGAACGACTTGTCGAAATAAGCGTAAATTATAGGATTTAAGAAACTGTTCGTATACGGCAAAATATTGAAACAAATCATTGATAAAATTTGAAAACCTTTCTTATTTGGATGCAACAAGTCTATGTTGTACTGGCTTATTAGGAAAAGAATAAAGAAAGGCCCCCAGCACACAATAAAAGCACAAACAACCAAGCTGAATATTCCAACTGTTCGTCGATTTGAATTGGTGACTCTTTTTCCGGTAACATGAACCCTTGGCATCATCGGTGATTCGAAACTTGCGTTTTGGTTGTGAGTTGATCGTGATCGGTGAAACTTTCTCACAATGCGGAACATCAATGTACACATGATAATTAGGATTAATACAGGAATAAAAAATCCAAGAAACGCAGCTAAGGTATAGAACACCTTGTTATCATTGACACAAGTTCCGACGTTCGTTGTGTGCACTCCTTTGGAGCTTCCATATGGCATTAAACCAAGGAAAGCGACCACAGCCGAGTACAGCCATAGGAACATGATGATAATCTTGCATTTGGTGGTCGACATCATTGTTTTGTACTTAAACGGTTTGCCAACTTTAAAGTAACGATCAATGCTGATTATTGTCAATGTTGTGATCGATGCTAATTCGGTAAAGATATCGACCCAAATCCAAAAACGACATGCGTGGATGCTCAGCGGAACATCGGGTCTCATATACTGGTGAAGACGGATCGTGACACTGAACGCAGCTACCATGAAATCGGAAAGTGCAAGACAGGCGACGAAGTACTTGTTAGCGTTGTGCAGGGTCTTCTCCAGATACACTGCTAGTAAAACAATCGTATTCATTATGACCGAAGCCACAATGGTAAAAAAGTACGAAAATAGCATACAATTTCTTATAATGGTTTCAAAATAGTCATCAGTTTGACTCGTGACGTTTGTATCGTTACTTGCATTTTGGGAAGATACCATGTTTGAAATTTTAAAGATTCTCAGAAGCAGTATTTATTTATAATAAATCTTTCCAAGGGTTTCCGCCGATCTAGCTCCTCCGTTTTTACCTGAAAGTTTTTACCCAGTTATTTATTAACGATACCAGGAAAGTATGGCGAGGTTATGTCTATAACTAGTTTCTCGTAGAAGATTGAATTTGTATGTAAAATCAGGTCGGCATAGAAACTTAAATTTGTCGGTGTCGTGCTAGCGCGTCGTTCAAAAATACTGGCAGTAATAAACTATAACAAGCCCTGCATAATTTGAAGAAGTAAATTGACTGCGGCTTCTTAGCCTTAGGTGAGAATTAATTTGATTCACAGTGTGATGCCATTTCGTTATAGATATAGATCCTTGATCGAGTTCGTCGCTGCTTCACTTCTCCAGGTATAACAGCACCTTTGTGGTCGATTTAATATGCACTGCAATTAAAAAGAAGACAAGCATTTAATGTTTAGTATATATCATGCCAGAATTCCCACGTTCATATAACTATGTATAATATCTCAATCAAACATTACGTTATAGGATGTACATATTGATAGAGATATATGCTGGTGATAATATTTAGCCTCCTCATTAGCACAATAACAATATTACTATTAAATACAAGTTATTTTGTTCGGAATTAATGAAACACTGATAAAAATATTTAATTTAGTAATGTAATAGAATAAAAGCTGAAAATATTAGATATTGGCGAAATCTTTGCCATTTGCAATGAAAATAGATTTGAAATTTCCATATTATACCTGGTTATTAAAAACGTTTCTTTAGAGGAATAATATAGTATTAGTATTAAATGTGTACTTTTTGTATTAAATGCATGTGAATTTGTACTATATTAAGATCTTCTTTGTTTACATCATTAGTCACTGTATCAGTAAACATGAATGCCTCAAACTCTACTCTAAACTGAAAGGACTGAAATTTTATAGTCCCATGCAAGCGTATAACTGATTTTTGCCAGCTGTAATAGATCAAGAATATCATGATCAGAGCAATGAAATGTTTTGGAAAGAAACATTAGATCGCTCATATGTTTTCCTACCTTATACGTTTATGCATAGCAATGAATTGAATTGAATATAATTGTTTGGTTTGGTGCATGGAAAACACAATAAGTTTTTATATTTCTCGCACTTATTTCTCGATCCGTAATTGTAATAGATTATGAGGATCCGGGCTTACGTATAAAGAAAGCTTTAAAGAACGAGAATATGGATCAATTTCCACATGCACAAACAAATCAAGCGGCCATATGTTTTCGCTTCCAAATGAGCCAACTAAATATCATCAGTTTTGAGAAAATAAGTTGTGTGATGTTATCTACAGTCTGCATTTACTATGATTAATAATTATAATTAATCCGGTCTTCAATTTCGGTTCATTTAAATATAATAGTGAAATTTACTTAAAATCCTGCCGCAATTTATAGGATTATTGAACATGCATCCATTGAATGCATATATTCAATTATAGTTTGGCAAAACAGATCTGGGAGGTTTATTCTTTGGACCACCAAGCCATGATAGTTTCCTTATGGAGCCATTTGCCCTTTTTTCAGCTATCGGCTCCAAAAGTCATAGCAAGATAAACAAAATGTAAACAGAATAGCAGTCATTAGCAGAGAATAATTAAATTTGGGAGGAGGTTTTAGTATTTTGATAACCAAACATTGCTCTATGTCTCTAACTTTAATTAGTTTTGACAAAATTACTGAAATTAAAACAAAGCTATTTGTAGTGTGATCATGTACATAAATTTGTAAGAATATAAAAGAAATTTCATATCACTCCATGAAATTAACAAATCCTGCGCTTCGTGTTCGCTTCGCTACTGTGTGATACTGTGGTATACCGCAATTTGCAGCATGTGTACGGACTTGGCTTTTATATACTAGAAATTAAAATATTTATTTCGTTGATTCTTATTGTACCCCTCGAAATGAATTACAATAATGGCTTGCGAAGTTGACTCGACATATGAGTTATTAAAAAAGGCCGACAGAATAGACCGCGATTTTTTAAAATTTTATTTCATGGCAATTGGAATGAATTGCCATTAATGTGTGAATACTGCATGGTTAGATATGATTTTCGATCGTCTGCCTTATTTCGTTTATTTATATTCCCCCAAAATTAATATATCAATCAGTGCAGAAAACACTGAGGATATCATTTATTACCTATAGGCATGCACTTTGACTTACTCCTTCTCAGAGTCGACTGGTATATGTAAGATGGAGGAGAATGCGGATTGGCTGGAATTCTATATAGCCGCTTTAAGTTTTGCTGATCAACTCAAACAGCATTAATTACACAGTAGGAACGGATATCAAAGTGCCATTTTGATCATTTGATATGAATAAGATAGGTCTTGAAGACATTCAATTTCTAACTTTATTTGAAAGTCATCATGCATCACTGATCATGCAGATTTTAGCATGCATGAATGACGAAATGAGTTAATTTGAAATAAAGTCAAATTCAAAGTTTAGAGTGTGGAATACTCGTCTAGTTTAATTGGTATAATGAATATCAAGACGTTTTTCTTTTCTTTATTAATTTTGTTTCTTTAATTCAGGCATATGAGACATCTCCCAGCTTGTCCCTTTGATTCCTTTATGCATTGAAAAAATGTAATTAAAAATTAATAACTTCTTATAGTCTTCTCATTCAACTTTAAAATAATATTTGTTGAAGTAATCACTTTAATGAATATTAAATTCTTATCTTGAGTCAATCAGACATCTTCAACATTCACTCAGCTTGATGGGTAAATTGAGACGAAATTGGCACACCGCAGACAAAATGTCTTCGCAGTTAAACGAGCAAACAAAGCCACTAGAATTACAACGTCCGCCGACGATTAGAAAATGCAGATATAATAAAAAATGAAAATCCGTATTTTTGCCCGAATTCTTGAATCAATATATGAACATGCAGGTTAAAGGCAACCCCAAAATATTATTATAAAATATTGCAAACTGAAGATCAACCTCGCAAGCCAGTCCCTTTTATACCTTCGCGCGTGTTTGTGTGACTTGGGAGGTTGACTCAAGGTATGAGTGTTAAAAAAGACATAAAATTCAAAGCAATTGCCAAAGTGCTTGTAAAACTTACTTCTCAAAAGAACAGGACTGGAGGTCATTGGGTGGGGGTGGGGGGCAGGTCTCACATGTCCCTTGTTTTTATATGATTTTTGAGATCAAAGTTTTATCAGCTGTTTTAGGTTATTAATCCAAATTAAATCTTTCGACGTCATACAAATTACGAGGTATCAATGACTGTTGAATGCTTCATAAGTTTATGAAAGAAATCAAAACGATAATAAGGGAACAATGGTAAAGTTTATTTAACCTCTGTCTGCCGCGCGCACTTTTTTCTGTGATATATATATATATATATATATATATATATATATATATATATATATATATATATATATATATATATATATATATATATATATTTTTTTATATATAT